TGTGTGTGTGTGTGTGTGTGTGTGTGTCTGTCTGTGTGTGTGTGTGTGTGTGTGTGTGTGTGTGTGTGTCTAGGTGTGTGTCTCTATCTTTGTGTGTGTGTGTGTGTCTCTATCTGTGTGTGTGTGTGTGTGTGTGTGTGTGTGTGTGTGTGTGTGTGTGTGTGTGTGTGTGCGCTCACTCTGTTTCCCTGCTCGTCCTCTGAATTTGTCCCTAAAGAGGAGAAATGACAGAACGTTCCATCATTTGAGTCTCAAAAGAATCGGAGGTCCAGGTCATTACGGAGCGGTTCTGGTTCTGGTCGGACAGACGGGATCACAGCTGTGGAGGTGACGAGGAGACGCTAAAGTTCTGGGAGATTCTGCTGGTTCTGCTGACTCAGTCTGGGTCGGAACCAAGTTCTGCTGGAGAATCAAACCAGCATCTCCAGCCAGCAGAACCTGAAGAGTTCTGGAATGTTCTGTTAGATGGCTCCGCTGGTTGAAAACCCAGTGGACCAGAACCAGGACCAGCAGATGACCCAGATAATCACTGACTGAGGAAACCTGGTTCTGGTTCTGTCCAGGCTTCCTCCAGACCCTGAGATCCAGATGAAACTTTAACTTTGGGTGTCAGAGCAGCGGTCCGGTTCTGGTTCTGGTGGGCCCAGAAGTTATTGCGATAAACGATAATTTTGTTGTTTTGAGACGATTTTGTTAAAATGCCACAAAGAAAAGACGCTTTTAAACAAAACGACAAAATGATGAAGCTTCTGCTGGTTGACACCAAAACACCAAACTGAAACTTTCATCCTTTGGTACGAAGAGAAAAACAATCGATCATCATGCAAACAGAAATTATTGATCTGGTCGTTAAGTGATTTATTGTGACGTTTTTGGTCCCGGTTCTGTTGGTGGACGTTTGAGAGGAACCAAAAAGTTCCGTATTTTCTGCATTATAAGGCGCATAGAAGAGACGCTGCGGCTACGGTTGCCACGCTACGAATTCTACAAATGTGGATGTGTAATAATAAAGAAGTGGTGCTTTAAATGGTCGGCTGCCCAGTCGTTGTTTCACTCACGGTGTTGGTGTTGCGATATTGTGCCCAACTGCTTTCTGGGTAACACAGACCAACCGACACGCTGCCGCCGCAGCCCCCGTCTCCCCCCCTGGGTTTAAAGGTATAGGGGCTGGTCCCTTCCTAACCCACAGACATGTGGTAACCCCAGTCGAAGCTCCCCGGATGAATGTCTAAAGCCACTTTGTTGACATAAAGGATGTCAACAAAGTGGCGAGGAGAGCCTTCTGCAACTGGGCCGGGGCGTGGCCGGACGATGGTCACCCTTCTCCGTTCGCTCACAGCATGTTCGTGGAGAACGTGGTGCTAAATGACCTGCAGACGACCTGATTATCAGGTTGGTAGATAGATAGGTCAGTCAAACTTTATAAACAAAC